TAATCAATCTTCTTTCATGCCAATCGATACCTGTTTCTTTCAGGATCTGCATTAATTTGGTCCAGTTTACCCGGTCAAATGCCTTCTGCCAGTCTATGAAGCAAACACACAGTTCTTCATCTATCTCCAAAGTTCGTTCCGCTATAATTCTCATCATCCCAATTGCATCCCTGGTTCCTTTTCCTCTTCTAAATCCAAACTGATCTTCTCCAAGTACATCCTCTATTTTCCTTTCAATTCTTCTTTTAAGTATCTTTGCTATTATCTTTGCTGTATGTGCAATAAGACTTATTGTGCGATGGTCGCTGCATTTTGTAGCTTTTGTCTTTAAAGCAAATGGAAAAACTACCACATTATCACTTTTCCTGGATAGTCTCTTTCCAAAAACAGAGAAGAATTCTAACTTAAAAAAAATCATATTAAAACATTTTGCTTAAAATTCAATCATATATTGCTTAATTTTCAATATAAAAATGAGGATGAGCTTAAAAGAGTAACAATGAGTTCACAGTGTTAATAAAGATTAAAAATACATTTTAAAATAATTAGTATATTTTCCATGATGTTATATTTTTAGGCCATATTTTTTAAACTCTTAGGTAATTTTTTCTGGATTTTTGGCCAGTTTTAAAGATTTTTAGGTCATCAAAATCCTGGCCCTGTTCATGATAATATACCCACATATTCCTTTTTGAGTTATCTTGATTAATTAAATAATTTTATGTGTCAAAGAAAGATTCTGCACCATCAAGTTATGGCTTATTATTTATTATTCTTTAAATTTGGATGTACATACCTTTCATATAATAGTGAATGAATTGGAACTTTATGTCATCATCTTCGTGGCCGTCCAGACACGTAACACATTTAGCATACTGCTCTGTCCTAATGAAACACATGCAACACGCAGTCTTCAATACTTCCAGCACAGTTTCAATATCACATTTTCCCATTGCACTATTCACCTCATGAAGTCCAAATTTGAAGCTGCTCACTGCATCCTTTTTCTTACTTTTAGCAGCCAAGAACACACGTGATACCAACTCACTACTCATATTCAGAATATGAATACTTATGTTCATACACTCAGTAATTATTTCTTTTTTCGCTTTCAGTTCAATTAACATGTATATAACAATTATACAGATTTCAACCAACTGTTGGCTTTCTTCTCCACTAACTACAAGAAGATTATTTGAAACTCTCTTCATTAGATACAAAACTACATCTTGTATGTTACAAAAACTTGAACTTGGGCAGGCATCATGGGAGACTTCTAAAACTGAAATAATAGGTTTAATCCATTAATAACTTAACCTAACCTATCCTGTCTTCTCCTGGAAGGCTCTCAACATCACAATTTTCCCATCCAGGTCCACTATTGGAAGCCTTCTGCTACCAACTTTTGTGAACCTACCAACACCATCCAAATTGGCTCTGGGGGCCACCCAGCCTCATACATGCAATGGGTATTTGGGGCTGTTCCTCCAAGCATAGAGAGGCAGGGATGTGAAGCTATCCACGCATCTGCATCTAGTGCCAAGGTTAAGAATGGTGGAGCTATACCTACATTCATTCATATATCTTCATGTCATGGTGCTCAATTAATTAAGCCTGGGGATAACTTTACCTTTTTACCTTACCATCACATTACAGCAGTCTGTTCTTATATGTTTACTCTTTACATTCTTTGAAATCTTTTCTTGCAATATGCACACAGAAGTAACTGATGTCAGAAGCTTTATATTTCACCTTAAAAATTACTTTCTTTAAAATGCTGACATAGAATTATTTGTAACCAGATAGAAATGAGGTATAAAATAAAAATAATGGTAAAAGAGTTGAAGCTATTATGCCCTCAGCACTATTGGCTTTAAATCAATAGAGAATCCTCAGGTTGATGGAAATGGAGGAGGGGGGCTTAAATGACTAGAACTTAAATTGTAATAATATTTCATGCAAATTTTATATGCAATTCCTATAATAGTGTGACATGTTGCGCAACAGAGGACCCCTACCTCCCCAGCGGAACGTGGCGGTAACGTAGCACTTGCGTAATAGGCGAGTCATCACCCCACCACTCTCCCCGCGGTGACGTCACGAGCGGAGCCGAAGATAGCCGAGTCCCCGCAGCCTGGTAGCTACGCAACGTGAATCAACAGCGGTGACGTCACCAAGGGATATCGCGGTCGCTAGGCAACGCGGATAAACAGTGATGCCTACCACGTGGTTGTTTTCTCATTGACCTGCTGAGGGTTTATAAGCGAGCTACCTCCGAGTTAGTTCTCAGTTCGCAAGTTACGAGTTACAGACGCGTGTGCGACAACTAAGAAGTCCGTGAGCGGAAGACTTATTGTGTGCTTTCGATGCTTAGTGAGTGCTGTAGTACAGTTATATCTGGAGTGTGTAATTCAGGGAGACTTGTATAGCTCCCGCGCTATTAGTATGTGAAGATAAGTGAAGATTGTGTTAAGAGATTTTGTTGTAGGGTTTGTAAATTGTGGAAACCCATAATATTGTAATAAGTAACTGTAGCCGATATTTGTAGATTGTTCAATAAACAAATTAACGATCTCTACGGCGTGTTCAGTAACGAAACACGTTACAATATCTACACAATATAAAAATATAATTAACATTACTTCTGTAATCCAACTGTGTGTGGAAATCCTGGAAACATTCAAAACAAAAATCAACATCACAATTTTGCCACCAATTACCTTATCCCTCCTTTCACCATGCTTAAGCAGAAAATATATCTTCCTCATTATTCAGGCTCCCTATATTCTAACTAAATGTGTCTCAGTAAGACACAGCAGGGATGAAAGTCTGGTATTTTGTTCCTCTGTACGACCATTATATCATCATATCACGATGCCACTGAGCAGTCAGCCTGTTAGGCAGCAGATAGGGACCCATTCAGTGGTGTGCCGTGCATGGAAGCAAGGGAAGCATTGCTTCCGTAGTTAAGAACTGATAATAATAATAATAATAATAATAATAATAATAATAATAATAATAATAATAATAATAATAATAATACTGCATAAGCCATATATAAATATATTTAGATCAGCATACATTGTTCTTGCCATCCAGACACCAGCTTTAGTCCAGCTCACAGACAGGATTCCTTTTTTTCTTTTCCTGTTCCCCTTTGTCATAGTTATGGATTTATCACCAGAATAGATGAATATCAGAGTGACATCTTCGGCATTCCATCTAATTATCAATACAGTGCTACAATACATGACTCAAAAATGTTCTGAGGCTACCAGCCATGTCAGATCACAGAAATATATTTTATGCCAATAACTTTAATTTCTTGAACAAATCAGCTCACAACTCTTCCCCTACCAATAAATCGACAAACTCAATGATGCAAGTTTCCGTTACAACTGCCACAATCCAATCTTAACAATGTTTAGAAACTGGTTTAATATTACATGTAATATTAACATGTAACAGATGGCATAAGATGAAAGGTAATGTTGTCAATTTGCTTAATTAAATGCTCTCCCATGGAAACGTATGAGGGAGCGGATATATTACTCCACCATTCTCAACCTTGGCCCTAGATGGAGGTGAATGGTCAGTTTCATGCCCTGGCCACTTTAACCCTGGGGAAAGAGCCCCTGGTAGGAGGCTAGATAGGCCCCAGAGCCAGTCTTTCACTGTAGAGAAGAGAAACATCTCTTCTGCTGCTAGGAACAGAACCCCAGCCATCAAGCCCATAGCTATATCAACTAAGGTGTCCTGACTCCATCCATGAAACATATGTAACTGTCCACATTTCTGTTTCCTATGCTGGATACAGATAATGGATTTATGCAATTCAGATTTTATAGAGCAGCATGACAATTTTTAACAGCCAATAACACTATACTTAGCAGCAACACAATTAGAAGTGTAACATTAATTTAAGATTGCACAAAGTTATTAGTTAACATTTTTCATACCTCTTTTAAAACAGCTGACTGCTATCTGCATGTATGTTTCAATGTGACTTTCATCGCACTGCAGACCGTTTGGGTGACACCAGCCCCAATAAAGGGCATTATATACAATATTCAAATAGCATTTTACTGGGATTCTGTAAACCATCTGAAGGCTTTTCACTTGTTGATGAAGATCTGAGAAGCTCTGCATAAGATCATTCCATGCACTGTATGCATCATGAAGTCTCCACTTCAATGCCTGCTAAATAACACAATTTTAATTAACGTCACTCAGCTAGTGAAGAAATTTCAGCCTTTTATGTAATCATACATTCATTACCATGTTCACAGTAGTCTGCTACTTGACTATATTAGAAGCCATACTAATCAAGTCTACACCACCATAGTAATCTTTTCTCCTGATCTGCTTTAATACTGTCACACATTATCAGACATGAGACTTGGATTGATAGTTGGATTTACTGAACACTTAGGACTCGCTGCTACAAACAAAGATAACACTCACACTAATTTAACACTCTAGAAATAACTAAGTCTTCTTGCTCTGCTATTGCTTTCATGAGTTGCTGCTTGGTAGTGGATTCTAACAATGCAACTCAGGGCTGCTAACTGCCTGATCTGACTTTTGACTGACTTAACTTTTCCCACTGGTCCTCGGTATATAGCCTTAACACAGACTGCACAGAAAAAACCGCTTCCAACAGTTCTGTTGTTGAAAGTTGAACTGTTGCTGCAGAAATGTGTTTACCACACTGCTGCCTACCAATGGCTACCACTTATTAGACTATTCTGGCTTTCAGCCATCATGTCACATTGCTCCCTCCTTAAGCATTTCCACTTCTACAAGGGGATGTGCATGTGACATCTGCAATTATTTTCCTGAAGACCTCCTCCACATCGTGTAGGCCCAAATGCTTCTGTTCCTGGTCTTGACAGTGTACAACCTTCATTCCTTGTGGTTCTGTCTTGTGGTGCTGTTCTCCAAATGCCCTCTCCTTTGGGCTGCTCATCTCAAGAGGTTAACTGGTAAGGTACCAGACAGCCAATTGTTTTGACATACCGCTCCACCATACCATCTTACTGTGTGCGCAGTGGGGTGGTGCATATCTTGCACACTCCTAGGCATTGTAGCACCTCCTGTATAAGGTGGCACTCAAAGTTATGATCCTAGTCACTGTGCGGCTCTTGTGGTACCCCTAAATGGCAAAGGTTGGTCACCAGGGCTCCCACAACCAGTCTGTGACTCAGGAGAGAAGTAGTGTTCTCACTGAATTTGGTATACACCACAAAACTAATTAGGCAACTCAGAATCTGTTTAAGAGAAAATGATAGTAAGCCCATATAGGTACACATTTATCTGAAGCTTTTCCCATGCAGAACAGTGGCATCACCACCACTTTACAACCTCATTTTAAATACACTATCAGGAAGTCTTGGAATTGAATGGGGCACATCTGCTTCTGTTCTATGATCACGTTAATTTATTGGATTAAATTACAAATATGATAAAGCTTTATTAGAAACTTTAAGGCTTATGACAGTTCCAACAGGATGCTTAGTTTTTTAACTAAAATGTCCATGTTACAGAAGTGTGCATGCCACCCAGAACATCAATTTTGTAGGAGCTGCACTGCAGAAAAGCCCTGGAAAATCAACAAGGAAAGATACAGCAAAAACAGCAATAACCAGAAATGTTATCTAGCAAATCCTACAGTTAGATTTGCACATATTCTCATACAAAATTGGTATACTTCATAAACTTACTGCACATGCTCAAGAAAAAGAGACTGGAGCTCAGTGAACAGGGCACAATACTATATGATTGTTCAGTTGTTCAATTTATTTACATTCCACAAATCCAGATATAGGTAGACACCATAGGATATTGAACAAGTCAAATATAATATAAATACAATGACATATGTACAATAACAGTCTAATTGAAAAATTAATAAGATTACAAATTACATAAACATAAATTAAATGCACTTATGCATCACAATTTGAGCCTGTTAACAGGAACAATGTCAATGAGTTGATGATGTGTAGTTTCTGGATGAGACACATTTCCACCTGCATGGAGTAGTGGCTAAAAAAAAAACTGTGCTTCTGGACTACAAGAAATCCACATGCGTTCATACAAAAAGCGCATTATGCAGCCACATCAAGCCACTAGCTGTTGCATGCTGCATAACCATCTTGTGTCTCAAACTGCTGCAGCAGGTTGTCGACTAACACAGGATAGGTCCACACCCCACACAGCAAACATTATCTTTGACTTCTTTTATGACACTTTTCTGGGGCTCATATGTGATTTCTGGTCAGTATCCCGATAACTACACAAGTGGAAGAATCTGGTCACCAAACAGTCCTGCAACTTCTTTCTTTGGGAATTCATGAAATGAAACTCCCTCACCCATAACCTCTCACTGATGGAACAGAGAGCCATGATCAGTCAACTGTGTCAAAACATTATGAAGACATGTTGCTGTGTGGTCATGAACATACACATTCATCTTCTGGAAGTCATGTGGCAGAACTGCATACTGAATGTTTATTCCTTGGTGCATGCATACATGTGTTTATATGTACATTTGTACGTTATGTAATGATTACAGCATCTGAGCAAAATTTAATAAGGGATCATTACATGCACCACCATGTAATATAACAGATCCCACGTCTACTGTGACAATTATTTATTAATTCAGATATGATGAATAAGTTCTATTATCTTCTTTTACTAATACAGGCCTAACAAGTCAGGTAGTTATGTATGTTAATCAGAGTCAATAATGCTTCTGATTTTGCATATGTATATAAAGAATAGAGACTGTGTGTTTCACAAATTGTGCTTAAGACAGAACCAGAAAATATAAAATATTGTGAAAATGAGATGCACAGCATGTAAGAGAGATTACAGCATTAATGTAACAAAGAATTTAAATTGTGCATCTTTCTCCTTACAGCTCTAGAGATCAGGGAGCCAGAAATTTGCCCACCCATATGAACACAGGTAAGAAGAAAATGATAGGCTTTAATCCTTTAACATTTGTGTAAATTTATTAAATACTTAATGCTCAAAATGATTTATTTCTGATGTGACAGAATATTCAATATCTGTTGGAGTCTCTTCCAGACAAAGTAATGTTCAAGTACTTTAAGCAATCAGGAAAAGCGTAGGGCATTAAGTAGCCCTCGAGCAATTAACCTGTAAGATGTCAGTACTAAATGTGCGAGCTTTACATACAAAGGTAGGGCAGAAAAAGTATCAGATATATATTGTTATTTACTCCTGATCTTAACATTAAGTTATTAAATGTCTCCTATAAAATATCAGTCATGACATACTATCAAGACTATGGGAAAGCGAATTTCGTTAAGTGACAAACAGAGCCGTTCATTTCTGCAGCCCTACCTTGTATATAAATTTCTGTATGAAGCAAAGTGTTGTGATCACGAATCCTGCTAAGTGGCAACTAAGTTCAAGTTGCATTTCTGGTACCCTGCTTGAAACATAAGAGTGGCACAACTCTACCAATAATTACACTAAAATACATGTTACAATGTACTTACCAAACCTTTCGACACTAAAATATTGTTCTCTATTAAGCAACAGAATACACATTTATCCAGACTGCATACTTCTAATAAAGAGTGAGTTGCTTTAGCCTCCTCATATAACAGTTGCAACGTTTGTATACATTTATCGTACATTCCTTTCAAATAACAATCACCGGCCTTTGTAAGACAGTCAGATATACGACCCTGTACCAAACTTTCCATTTCAGCTTTTTCGGTCAACTGTCTCTGCTTTATTAATTTAACTCATTTAACTTAATGTTCACATGGTTCATAACAACTTCATTTACGTTTAAATCATCAGTGCCTGTGATCCGTGCCATCAGTGCTGTCAACATCGGTCACCATAGAGGTCTATTTACACATATCCCTGTCGTGTAGTTCCGTGAAATTTCCTGTTATTTACGATTTATCGTAGCCAAAGTACATGAACAGCAGTTTCAAAACTGATACGAATACGAAAGGAAAAGAAATGAAAGCAGATGTTATAGCAGTCTTATAGCCTTGCTTCAGCGGATGTCTTGATTTTTTAAATGAACTTCTGTTTTACTCAGCAATATGTTAAAACAATTTTCAGACATTCTGAAATATCCAAAAAAATTCGTCTCAACATCAGTTAGTTCCTTATACAGAGTACCGAATTCTTCATCACGTTCTCTATTCACCCATGTCTCATGTACCCACTTCCGTTTTATTACCTCACGCTCTTCCTCTTCCTCTTCATCCAGAATTATTGCAATCACTGCCAATTCAATGTCCGTAAACTTTGTCATCTCGAAAATCTCTGACTTCGAACTACTGAAACGATACTGATGGTCGCGAGTCGCGAATGTGGTGATAAGACGGCAAACGGGACAACATATCTTCTGGGACTGTAAACTGTACGAGGACCAAAGGGGCAATAATGATGGATATTCTGTCTGAGAATACCCAGTCAGTTATAGAGCTCTTAGGGCTAGAAGAAAAAAGATTTCTGCAAGGCGTCGATTACTTCATAAACATTCCTATATTTATATAAAATAGAAATTTAAGAAAAGTAAAAGACGTAATTGTTTACAATAATATATTTAAGCATCCGGTTACACTCTACACAATGTATGACACAAACTCCGTCCTAAGTGCACCAATTTATTGTAGTTCTTTTGTATTCTTTTCTTCTACACTACATGTTTCGGCCATAAATGACAATCATCAGGTGTATACTCTGAAGCTCTGAAGTAGCTGTTACACTGCACGTAGTTTAAAATTTAAAAACGCCAGCTTTCTTAATTGTACTGGCACCTTGTCCTTGGGGAGGGAATTGCAAGCAGTCGGTTCATTTTTTAAATTATGAATACATAAATTCTGGTAACTGATGTTTTTGGTTATGACTGTCTTCGCCAACTTAGCGGCCTCCGTAGTCTAGGGATAACGTCCCCACCTCAAGGTACGCGGGTTCAAACCCGGCGGAGGTCGTGGACTTTTTAAGGGCGGAAAAATTCAGGGAACAAGTCCTCCGGGAGGGACTTTAAGCCGTGGGTCCCGTGTCGTAGATTTACGGCACGTAAAGATCCTCATGTCTCTATGAGACCTCTGAGCAAAATTAGGCAAAAAGTTTCCTGCCCAAGTAGTTTCCAGTGCCTCTGGTAGATGGGGGAAGTATCAGGTACCGAGGGCCGACCTCGTTGCCCGAACGGGGCTGATAGCACACACCAGTACTGGTAGGGTATGGCGACTGGTAGAATATCAAAGGGGGACGTACAATAGACTATCAGTCGTGGTGCACAGGGAAACCCACCACCTCTAATAATAATAATAATAATAATAATAATAATAATGCAAAAAACAAAATGCAAGCAATTGGATCATTGCAGTACCAGTACTGAGATACAGCTTTGGAATTATTAACTGGCACAAAGAGTAAATACAAAAATTGGACAGGAAAACAAGAAAAATGTTAACTACCTATGGACAGCATCACCCAAGAGCAAATATAGACCGTCTGTATGTTCCTAGAAAAGAGGGAGGACGAGGCCTGATACAGATAGAGGCGGCTTACGTGGCAGAAACCACAAACCTAGCAGAATATATAGAAGGAACAGAAGATAAATTGATGAAAATTATTAGGACACACCAACGCAACACAAGTCCTTCGCCGAACACAGCCTGCAAGTACACGAAATCATTACAAAAAAAAAAAGGCAATAGCTCAGAACACAAAAGAAAAATGGGAAAAGAAGAGAATGCACGGACAATACCCACGCTGCTTAGATGACACTCTGGTGGATAAGGAACAGACCTATCGATGGTTGAAATTTGGAGGCATTAAAGGGGAAACAGAAAGCTTAATCGTGGCAGCTCAGGACCAAGCAATCAGTACAAACTATTTTAAGAGAAAAATATTTAAAGAAGAGATCGGAAGTAAGTGTTGACTGTGTAAAGAATACGAAGAAACTATAGATCATTTAACATCAGAATGTCCTGTTTTGGCAAAGAACGAATATATAGTAAGGCATGATAAAGTTTGCATGCATTTACATTACTCAATATGTAAAGAATTTGGAACTGAAGTACCAGACAACTGGTACCCACACGTGCCTAAGTCAGTATGTGAACATGAGGATATAACAGTGTTATGGAACCAAGGCGTACAAACAGACAGAGAGGTTCTGGCAAACAGGCCAGACATAATAATCAGAAACAAGCAAAAGAAAACTTGCATACTTATAGATGTATCAGTACCATCGGACAGGAATGTAGTATAAAAAGAAGCAGAGAAGAAATTAAAATATAAAAATTTAAGCATCGAAATTCAGCGAATGTGGAACATGAAATGTTTTGTGATACCAGTAATTATTGGAGCCACGGGTATGGTTATGAGAGGGTTGAGAAAATATCTGGAACTAATTCCTGGAAAGCACTCCACAGATTCACTGCAAAAAACAGGTATCCTGGGAACATCACACATACTATGGAAAGTGCTACAGTGCGAAGCTTGAAGCCTGAGTGGTGAGGTGCATCACTGGTTCAAGAAAAGGAACACCAGGAAATAAACCTGTGACAATAGATGATGATAATAATAATAATAATAATAAAAAATGATAATAATCTTTGCCAACTTAAAAATCTAAAATCTTATTAACTGTCGATTCTTTCTGATCCAATATTAAATTTAAATGAATTTGTAATTTAGAAGTGGCTTACCATATGCAACACTATTAATGGATACTGTATGTATCTGCTACAATTTGCACCATGGACAAAATATATAAATAAAGACCAGTAAAAACAAACCAGTTTATTCTGAAAATATATTTCACCTCATTTTATGTTTTACTGCACCATATGTTCATATTACATTGCACTGTCTCAGAAAAAATATATAACTAAACTGGGTATTAAATTATTAGGGCTACAACACTAGTTAGGGAAACAACTAACAATCACAAAGAAGTGGGTGTAAACAAGGCAATGGGTAGTTCAGAAAACCTGTCATGTTTAGGATACATAACAACTTTACGTGCCTGAGGAAAAGAATTCACATGCAGTCAGCTCTTCGGTGTGCTTCAGCAGTCAGTATTGTAAGAATAAATACCTATCGTACTCTAGACCAAATTTTCCCCAAAGTGCATACTATAAAACTTTGCCTGGGGCAGTAACAATCATAAAAATGTGTATGAAATTACAAACATATAACTGAATAGACACCATTAATTAATAATTATTTTCTGGAATTGTTAAATAACATTTCAAATAACTGTTATAACCTTGGATGAAGGGGTCTCATTTTTTTTATTTACTGCAAGGGAACCTTAGACTGCCAGAGTCTGGGAAACACTGCTCTAGAGATATTCCTGATCACTGAAATTCAGTGACCTTCTGTAACACCTCAAACCATCATTATTTGTTTCTTTACTATCTATTAAAGAATTCAGTGTGCATATTACTACAGGATGATCCAAACATCATGTAACCCAGCCTGCATAATTACTCTCTTAATGTAATATGGGCCAGAAGGAAGTTCTGAACAAATATTTTTAGTTTTTAAAGGTAACAGCAAATGTCAAAAGAGCCCTTCTTGTTCCTGAATGCAAGCATGTACTTTATTTATAATACATGCTGCAACTTTAGGTACCATTTGAAAAGTTATTGTCGAATCAACAGATTCAATACTGGTTTACAACTTCTTTCATGTTTGAGGGTTGCTGCTGTATGCCACTCTTTTAAGCAGTCTCACATATAAAATCAGGAGTTAAATCCTGGGGTCTTTAGGGCCACAAAATTTTGGGAATAATGTGATCACCAAAAAATTATCAAATTATTTCTTTTGAAGTATGGCATGTGGTAGCATCTTGTTTAAACTAGAAGTCACAATCTCATATTACGGCAGTGAAACGGACTAGGTTATGATATATCAGTATACGTTCTCTTTGACAGTAATCTCCAAGAAAAGGGGGGTTCACCACAATCTGACAAGACAACACTCCATACCCTAAATTCTCTAGGATGCAAGGGCTGCATGTGGAAGACGTGGATGTTCATTACTTCACATCCTAATATTTCAGCTGCTCTCATAGCTGCTATGATGAAACCATGCTTCATCACTAAAGAAAACATCCAACATGTCCACTCCATTTTCCTCAGTGATCACATGAAACCACTGACAATAATGTAAGCATTCCGCCTTGTGCAGTTCCTTCAGCTCCTGCAATATGTGAATATGATACAAATGCAGATGCAATTCTTTTGCCACCCTCTAGGGCTCAGTATGATATATGCATCTGCAAAGCAAGTCTCTTGAGAGATTTTACAGGCGACTGTGACAACCTTCTCATTTGTTAACACACAAGGCCTTTAACTGTGTTTCTTACCATGGATACTTCCACTTTCATTATAGAAATGGTCAAGCAGTCTTACAGGTCTGGTCTTATATGGGACATGAGAACTGGGATGTTTCCTAAAACTCTCCTTGAATGTGTGCATATGATAGGGATTGAAAGTTATGTTCAATTATTAACATGCACTGTGCCTGGAAAAACAACACATTGCACCTATTGTAAATAAGGAACTGGTTCTGGGTTGATCGCCTCACAACACTGCCAAAGATTTGTGAGTCACTGGGGGTGACCAGTGATGCTAACTGTTGCACACATAATTATATCCCAACAATTTTTCACTTATTACTAAACAATTAATGAAAGATCTGTGTGACTTTGAACCATCCTGTATTAACCCAAAATTTGTATTTAACTTTATACTAACAGATGTTCAAATACGTAACACCTCACAAAAAAAAAAAAGTACAAAATAAATCGTTTGTCTGTAGAAGTCATGTAATAATTATTCAAGGAGAAAATGGATATACCAGAAAGGAGGGGAAAGGGAAAGAAGATTCAGAAACATATGGAACGGAGCGTGGAAAAAGAGGAATGAATAGAAAGGGAGAAAATTATTACTTCTATATGAAACCAATGCTACATAAGAAAAACTAAAATATAAAATACAGACATTTCTGTGATGTAACTGAAAATAAAAACATAACATTTATTAGAAACCAAATGATGTCTTGCTTTGCCTTGTCCAAAGAATTATGCACGTTCCTTTTAATATGGTGTATGGTCAAGGACCACACCCATTTCACTACACTTGTATTTCTGGCACTGTAGTTTTCAATCTAATTATATGATAATAATCACACATGTGTAATCTTTTGTTAACTCCTTTCCATGAGAAGATATGGAAACTTGTAATTTCCAGAACCAACATCTGAAATCTGAAGTACAGAAAGAAACTCCACAACACATTTAGAGAGCATAAACTCATTCTATGAAGTCCTGCCATAAGACAAGCTTTTGCTTGTGAGTAACAAGAGAAAAGTGGTTTGGAACTTATTTTTACAACCTTCTGTTTCACACCAGGACAGTTATATGATCATTCTGTTTCAAGAGAAAATACGCAGAGCTTGCAAACTGCTCCAAACATCTTGGTACTCACATCCCTTCCCAGTATGAAGAACTGACCTATGACAGTGTGAAAGATGAAATTTCTGTTGAGAATCTAGTAATGTAAAAATGTTTATGTTGGTAATAGTGATCTATATTCATTTGTTTTTGTTTTGTAATATAATAAAAAGTTCTTCTCATCCAATATGGCTGTTAAGTGATATGTAAGCACGACACAAAGAAAATCAACAATTTCAAATATAGCAAACAACTCAAAGGGATGTGAGGTCATCTGGTGGTTGTGTTTCAAGAGAAACCACATTGAGTTTGCATATTGCTTCGATATCCTAGCAACCACACCCCCTCCCTGTAAGAGGATCAGACAAATGGAATTAAGAGGTAAAATTCTGAAGAGGGAGAACAGATGAAAGCGATGCAGCCATATTTGAAGAGAAATTGCACACATCCCTCCTCTGTATAAAGATGTATGGCTAAAATTACTAAAGGGCAACATTTTGAAGGCAGAGAATGGCTGACAGATCCTTATCCTGTATTTTTCTTCCAACATGAGGGGTCTGGAAGATCAGTTATGTGAAAAATTTGTAAAGTCACACTGATAAACTGAACACTTGACAGAAAAATGCTCACAAAGTGTGCATGAAACACCATGCATCCAAAGAGAACAGAGCCAATAAAATTCTATCTCGTGGTTACATCAGCTGATCGTGATCATAGTCTGACAAAGGTACAGCCCTGAAGAGAGACAATCTTGTTTAAAATATATTATTTATTGTTATATAGGTCAATGTGTAAAAAAATAGGACCATATTCCAAATTTCACTACAAAAGGGAATCAAGAAATTAGCTTGTCACTGGTATAGCTCCACACATTCTTAACCCTGCCACTACATAGTAGTGAGACTCCAGCTTCAGTCTCTGGCTGTTTTGCCACTGAGAACTAGCTCTAAGTGCCCACTAAATAAGACCCTAGGTGGGACTCCCAACCAGTCTACTATAATGATGAGAAAAACCGATGAAGATTACGGCCTTATGGGTTATGCCATCCAGTTTGATAGCTGGTTGCCAATGTTTCAGAAGAATCTGCTGATTCTGTCTTCACCTTCAAATGTTCACAAATGTTCAAATGTTGAGGCAGCAGGTTCTTTTAATACATCGGTACCTGTTTATTAAACTATACATGGTATCACATCCCATCTTGATACTTGCAGTCTTTACAACTTACAGTGTCATACGGAAAAAGTGTTGCCTTTGTCATGAATTGCATATTGGTCATCCAGCCTGCATCCTCACTCACTCACTATCTAATTACAGTCCAGCCAGAGAACACTTCACATGGTGAACAGTCTCCAAGGCTGCTCACATCCTGAGATGGCATGAATCATGATTATAAAGTTTGATAAATATTACTTCATAGAGTTCTGCATCCCATTAATAAAACCTTTAACCAATCTACTTGTCCTGCAAGCAAAATTACTTCTCAGCACCTTCAGTTCCCAACCAATCTCTTGGACTTCTCAGGACTTCCAGAAGATTCCATTCTTTTGACTGTGGATTGGGTGTGTGCATGTATTCCCATTTCTGGAATGAGTGAATGAACAAACAGATAAAACAAATGTGTGTGTGTGTGTGTGTGTGTGAACAGGTAACTACAACTGAACTACCAATATATTCTCACCATCTAATAACTACAATAGTTGAAGATTATTTTTAACATCCTAGCAGCACACAATCCCAAGCCTACTCTCTCTGCTTGTCTACATATATAAGACTAATAACCACAAAAATGTATTTCTTTTGCAGAAAAATATTCTCAGTAATTTAGTTTTCATTTTGAAGTAACATTAATGAGATGATGATGCATTAAAAAACCCACATAATATGGCGCTTTTCATTATACCCCATTACACATTGTGCCCCAAATTACATGTACTTCACTACAGCAGACCTCTGTGTATCTCAGCCTAACATTTTTTAATTGCTAGTGGGGTGGGACTAAGTGCCTTGTACTGCGACCACTTCTGGCCTATTGTACCAGCCCCAGATGATAGGTGAGGGTGATTGTGGATCAATTGGTGGAATGAAGATTGGCAGGGGGAACCGAAGTACTCGGAGAAAACCTACCCCAGCGCCACTTTGTCCACCACAAATCCAACTTGACCAGACCCGGGATCGAACCTGAGCTGCCGCGGTGGGAAGCCAGCGACTAACTGCTTGAGCTATGGCGCAGCCTCAGTCTAACATTTGTGGAAATCACTTTCCACTCTAATTTCAGACTGAATCAAGACAGTACTAAATCAAGAACAATACATATACTGAACTTGATCCTGATTAATTCAGCGTGTTTTCAAATAAACTGATATAAACGAGCTACTCTATCGGATACTTTTTATTGTCAAAAAATCATTGGGGAGTGAATGCAGCAGGACATTTCATTCATCGAATACAAATGCCTATTCATTTAATCTAATAAAAATACTTATGAATAATTATGGATATGGATTTTGTACTTTTAGAACATTTCACTGTTCAGAAACCTTTAGCAATTTTGACCATTCGATTTCATATAGCCGCTGTTATATGTTGTACCTTTAAACTTTTTTAAATATAAATAGTTCTGGTACTTCATCTGGTGTTTTTAATTTGCATTGGAAGTATCTCAGAGTACAAAGTGTCAAATGGAAGGATGGTTACTGAATAATGAATTAGAAGGGATGTGGAAAGGAAGTGGTCACAGTTTAATTTGAGGTATGATCCTGGCATTTGTTATGAGGGATGGAGGCATAACATGAAAACCCCGAGTCATAACAGGTGGTCTCCAGGGAAAAATTTTAACCTGGATCTCCACAAAACAGGAATACTGCCTGCTCAACTGCGACATTTGTCTTTGGTCAGGAAATGGACAATAAAATTAAGTATAAAATGAAGCACTGTAGGCAACTGTTGAAACGAGATAACATAACAATTCTAATAGCAACAGTAGGAAATGCTTAAGAAAAATTAACAGTGAATAAAAGAGAGTGTCCAAATTGATGCTGTTCTTCAGTTACTTCATCAAAAGGCACCCTTATTCAATGGTGTATGACAATGTTGAGATTTCAAGTAACTATTTTCATAATGAAAAGAACCAGACTATGACCTATAAGAGACCACTGGTCGAAGCATACTTATATTTTATCACTGTGTTCAAGATTCCACTACATCATGTGCCAAAATATAGGCATTTCACTGAGTATGAAACCTAAGTGTTACATTACTTACAACAATTACATGTAATACCACAAAATTTGTGATAACTTACAGCAGTAAGAGGGAGGGACATGAGAATACTCTCATACCGTGCTCCAGGAGTGTAGAGGCCAAACTTTGTGCCTCTGTCATATATTAGGTTAAACTCTACATAACGACCCCGACGGAGCAACTGCCACTGCCGTTCACTGTAACCATATGGATCATTCTTGTGTTTTTGAACTGAAAACAATTTACATGCAATTAAATTAGTGCATATGTACTTATATGGTGTTTGGGGCTTACAGAGGAGTGTAGATTCACAGTGTGGTCTTCTGGGTCATGACACCACAATCTGATAATTGGGTACCCAAGTTTCGGAGGATATGCCTATTCCTGCAAGAGATAGTACACATTTACTGCGCTACACAGTGTAAGAGACCAAAAGAGAACAAGAAGAGTAGTATATTTGTGTTTTAATTCTCAAAATTACTGTACTTTCATGTAAGTAGGATGGCCTGAAGATATAACTTATGTTCCTTGGCAATTATGGTAACCATTAATCAGAGTACACAATGTCACAAACCAGAGGAGTACAACATGAATCCCTTTACAGTGTATACAGAACAAAGATCAATACATTTTAAATCTTGGTACTAGCTTGGTCAGTATAATGATCAAGCTATGGGCTGGACAACTGATGAGTCAGTGTTCAATTCCCAGCAGAAGCAAGAGAGTCTCTCTTCTGCATAATGCTAAGACTGGCACTGGGGCCCAATAGCCTCCTTTACTATGGATACTAGGAGCTGTTTCCTTGGCGGTAAAGCAGCAAGAGCATGATGCTGACAACTCCCACCCATCTAGTGCCAAGACTAAGAATGGTGCATTTATACCTCCACTCCCCATACATCTTCATGGCATGGTGCTTCCTTAATTCAGCCCATGGATAACTTACCTTTCCGTAGGTGGACGTGACTGATCAGTTTTATGTTTTAGCTGTGGAAAAAGCCTCCAATATCTGTATGTTAGGGGGATTTAGTAGGATCCAGAACCAGTCTGAACATGATGGAAATCTTCTACTCTGTTAGAGTTGAAAACATGGTTTGGCACGCTGTAGTCATATTGCTAGTTGAGCTATCCCAGCACTTTGATGCTTCAAATAGAACAACTCAGACAGTAAGCCTGGCACAAATAACTTACCCAGTGGAATGTAGGATGGAATGACAGATTCAGCACATGTTTCTACAAACTTAAATGTTTCCTCTTTTGATGGGGTATCAAGGTCATCAAAGAAGATACCTCCAACTCCTCTTCTCTCTCCTAGAGAAAACAATTTGATTACAGCACATGACATTACATAACCATATGTTTCACCAGTGCTCCTCACATCTTGAACTACTGCAATTTAATGAACATCAACATATCACAGCTCCTCAACATCCATTAATAATTATCGTTGCAGACCACCTCCTGGTTACAACGTTGCCTCTTACAATGACATCTTCCTACTGAAACTTATGCATTAATAGAATCCTGCATGAATGTTATATATCTCATCCATCCTGAACATACAGAGTTAAAGAGCATAAGACTACATTTAAGAATCGTGTTGCATTGATGGAGTACTAAGTAGTTATTTTTAATCTTATCAATGTCACTTTTTTAAGTGTTCTGATGGTTGCATAGTTATTGCTACACTGACATATTTCATTTCATTGTTCATACAACACGTTTCAGTCTTGAACAGACATCCTCAGGTGCTTCTTACATTGTAAGTTGTTTCATTGTATCAATTCCTTATCAAGGAAAGCATCAATTAAAATTAACTGAAATCTGAGAGTTAAAAAACTATTAAAATATGTATAAAAGATTTATGTAAGATTAAATGGACAACACAACAAGGTTTCCCCCTTTGAGGACGATCATTGCTATATATTTGTCATCTGTGAGCATCCAATGTTGTTATTGTTGTCAGTGTTCTTGATAGTGGATGAAATTGTCCTTTCTAGGTTGTGATTGATGTGTTTTGATTTTAAACATATTTTAAATAATTCCTTTAACTTTTTAACTTTTAATTACTTTTCGCTGATGCTTCTCTTGACAGGAAGTTGGTTTACTGAAACAACCTACAACATTAAGATGTACCTGAAGATGGGCATGCAAGGCTGAAACATAGTGTAGGAATAACGAAACAAGTGATATATGTCAGTGGGGCAATGACCATGTAGCAATTGAAACATTTATAGAAACTGCATTCATAAGACTGAAAATAAATACTAAGTACTTCACTATCATGATGACACTCAGTAACACATCATTTAGTTCATTACATAATATTTTCCATTCTGCAGTCAATTCATTACCTATATTCTTGGGTCAAAAATAATTCCTTGGCTCGTTGTTTCTGGACATTTTACATTTCCACATGATCTTCCTTTCATGTAAGTGATTCAGTTCATATCTACACTGTGTTAAGTTCTATATTCCAAGTTCAGCCTAGTGCCGCATTTGGTTCTCATGGCACAGGCCTGGAGTCAGTCCCATGGCACTGCATGTGGGGTTGTGCTGGAAAAAGTGGCACTCAGCACATTTCTCTCCAAGTACTATACATTACTCCTAGTGATGAATCACCAAATTACCAATGCCCCATACTGCTCTCAAAGTGAGATTTACAGATTAAATGATATTAAGATGATAAATGATGAATTGAATATAAGTAAAAGAAAGAGGTCAACATGTTTTTCAAGATACTACCCCAAAATTAGCTTGGAGGCATTGATGAAGGTAATGAAAGACCCTAGTCAGTCTCTGTCCCAAATTTAATACCAGTATCTTCTGACTAAGAAGCCACTTGAGTGTGACATTTGGTGCCTGAGGAGTGTAATAAGCCTGAATTGCCAGCATGCTATCTTAACCTTGGTCAACAGCTGGGATTTTACCTCTGATTTAGCACTTTGTTGCACACAGAATAAAGCTTAGTTTAAATAACACTTGCAAGGAAACACCATTTATGATTCTTTGGAGGGGAAGTAAAGGAAAAAATATTTGGCTTCAAAGGAATACAGTACCTAATGGCTAACATTATAATAAGCAGGGCCCAGATTTTGATGACCTGAAAATATTTAAAAAATGACCGAAAAATCCAGAAAAATGACCTAAAGGAGAAAGAGAAAGAACACTTCGCTTCCATGTTATTCACATCTCAAAAAACATATGAAGAAAAATTCCCTAAAATGGCCAAAAACGACAAGAAATACCCTTAAAAGTCCAAAAAATTACCCCCAAAATGAAAAAATGACAAAAATTACCTATAAAATTTATATTTCTGTAACCAGCAGCTCATATCCGAGATTTTTATATATTTAAGAGCATCGCATAGGATACGAGGAAAAAAAGATGACATGTCATCAAAATCTGGGCCCTGATAATAAGTAACCAAATAACAGAAGAGTAAACTCTTTTACTTATTTAAGAGTTCACAATTTCTTACCTTCTGCATCTTACGTTACATAAATTCCAACAAACTATTATGAACAATAAAAAAAATTATATAATAGGGAAAATGAGAATCAATAGTCCTAGGTTTTATAAAATTATAGCGCTTCAACTTTATTATATGGCTATGAAACATGGACACTGATGAAACCAAAGGAAGTTTGAGGCCTCATAGGAGAAACTAAATGAAAGCTTATAATGGTCCAACCAAGTGTACCCACGAGATGACCAAGGTAACACTCTAGTCAAGTCAACCAAAAACTTTCCTTCCATGCTATCCAAAAGATATATGGTCAGGGGATGAACACTTCCAGTTATAAATCTGTCTGGAGGTTAAAGATGATCAGAAATACAAACAGGGTCATTGTTCTTTCATAGAAAAACATGAATAACTCCTAAGCACCTAAGCATTTTCTCTTTTGGGGAAAAGGGTACTAATCAGTCAATGAGGGGTTTATCCTAAGGGTAAGACTTAGGCCTAGAATAATTCTGTATGCTAATATTGTCGCATGTTACCTATGTAATGTTGTTGCGTTTCTCTGGTAACCTGCTTCTGAGAAACCAGTTATCACGTGTATCCTAGGTAATGTGATGAATAACTTCACGTAGGTCTCGGATTCAGTGAAATTTTATTGAACACACTCTTTTACACACTGAAGCACAATTATTATCATTATCACTTTTACTGCTTCTGTGATTCCATTCACTCGACCCAACTAACTTGGCGAATGCTAGACTTCAACTGACTGCTGTCTGGTATATTCAACCCCCTTATATAGGCCTTATGCGGACCGAATACCAGACTCCATTTCCAACAGTTCAGTTTTCCCGTCGTCATACAACGTTTCTAACAATCTGTTGTAACTGTGGAGACTCACTGTTTCTTTTATTGCTAGTAGGGTGGGACTAAGTCCCTTGTACTGCAGCCACTTCTGGTCTATTGTACCAGCCCCAGATGATAGGTGAGGGTGATTGTGGAGCAACTGGTGGAATGAAGACTGGCAGGGGAAACCGAAGTATTTGGAGAAAACCTGCCCCAGCACCACTTTGTCCACAACAAATCCCACTTGACCAGACACCGGGATCGAACCCAGGCCACTGCGGTGGGAAGCCAGCGACTAACCACTTGAGCTATGGCGCGGCCTGAGATTCACTGTTAGAATTACAATATTGCATTGCTTCCACTGTCTAGGAATGGATGCATTCCGATTGTAGCATTGTAGTGGGAACATGGGTCATTGCCTAGGAAATGACTATTTGAATATACGTACTTCAGCATGTTACAATATAAGTAATTTAAGCACCTCTTTCTCTAGACAAGGCCATTTCTGTTGCTAAACGCTAGCGATCAACACTTATACCATCCTGCTGGTAAAGCATACCAAGCACCTGTGTGATATGCTGATCATCGGGGAGATACTGACTCCAGTATTCCAGTCAAATCGTCTGGGCATAAGTGTAATATACAAGTCCATGATTTATTTTATCCGTCTTCTAGTGCATACATTCATCTATCCCCTCTTCTCACTCTCACTACATGTTTCGGCACAAATGTGCCATCTTCAGGTGCTGATCCAATCCACGACAAACTAGTTCATTGCATGCCTTGTCTATACATATTAAAATAACTAAAATATATATTTATCATATATACTGATAAATGTTAAGTGTTAAAATATTAAAATTGTACAGCATATTTCATTCTTACATCGTGTAATATACAAATTATCATAAAATTGACTGTAGACTACATTACAAGGGTAATTCCAAAAGTAAGGTCTCCTATGTTTGAAAATATAAAATAAACATTTATTTTCAATTTTGGATACATCAGTTGAATCTTGAACATGTACTCATTTCTCTACATAATTGCCATTTCGGTCGATGCATTTTTGTAGGCACAGTGGCAGTTTTTGTATGCCCATGTCATACCAGTTCACCTCCATGCTGTTCAGGAAACTTCGAACCTCAGCTTTCACCTCATCGTCGTTGTTGAAGCGCTTTCCAGACAAATGTTCTTTCAACTTTGGAAAGAGATGGTAGTCACTGGGCGCCAAGTCCGGACTATAGGGTGGATGGGTGATGATGTTCCATCCAAACTGTTGCAGTTGAGCGACGGTTTGTCGGGCAGCATGGGGGCGAGCGTTATCGTGGAGAATGCTTACGCCCTTGCTCAACATCCCTCTTCTCCGGTTCTGAATCGCCCGCCTGAGTTTTCTCAGTGTCTCACAATATCTCTCAGCGTTTATTGTGGTCCCAGTTTCCATAAAGTCAACCAACAATACCCCGTTTCGATCCCAAAACACAGTTGCCATGACTTTACCGGCAGACTGTGTTTGCTTGAATTTTCGAGGCTTAGGCGAAGAGGAATGCCGCCACTGACGTGATTGTTGTTTTGTCTCAGGTGTGAAGTGGTACGCCCAGGTTTCGTCGCCTGTGACAATTGAATTCAAGAAGTTGTCCTTTTCGTCAGCATAGCGGCGAAGAAATTCACGGGAAGAGTCAACTCTCTGCCGTTTGTGGTCTTCCGTGAGCATTCGTGGGACCCATCTTGCACACACCTTCCGATAATTCAACTTCTCTGTCAAAACCCGATAAATGGTGGTTCGGGAAACCTCAGGAACCTAAATGCAGAGATCATCGAGTGTGATGCGCCTATGCTGACGCATGACTCACTCAATCTTCGCGACTGTTTTGTCAGAAACTGATGGTCTCCTAGTTCTTTTTTCGTCGTGTATTGCAGTACGACCAGATTCAAACTCCCTACACCACTTGCGGACGTTCTTTATGTCCATGCACGACTCGCCATACACTTCCACCAACTGACGATGAATTTCAATTGGTTTAGTCCCTTTTGCATTAAAAAACCGAATAACTTCGCGGTTTTAGTAATCGGGAGCTCCATTTCTAACGGCAACCGTGCCAAGACTGAGCGTCCTAGCTACGTGCGAGCATGCTTGGTGGTATTGGGGGGAGTGGGGGAAGCAACGAATGCAACAGGGTTGCCAACAGCCGCACGAAAAATTACCCAGCGCTTTGGAGACCTTACTTTTGGAATCAGCTACATACTAACTGGTTTGAGCATGTTTTTGGGCATGCGGTAGAATAGTTGGTTGAGGCATTATGCTACAAACCGGAAGGTTGCAGGTCCAATTCCTGATGAGGTTAGTGGAATTTTCAATTTACCTAATCTTTCCAGCTGTACTATGGCCCTGGGGCCAACTCAGCCTATAACAGAAATGAGTACCAGGAATCTTTGTTGGGATAAAGTGGAGCAGGTGTGTAAGGCTGACAGCCTAACTGCCATCTGTGAGCTGATTGTCTAGGCAAAATATGGGAGCCTAGACATCTCACAACCCTGTGGGCCTCCATGGCCTATTACAGGGATAGCTTTACCTTTCTTTCAAGAGCACGTTTTAAAAATGGACTCAGACTGAATACTATACACATTCTTCTAGATTTCTAACTGACAGGGAATGAAACACAGAAGGCCTGAGAAACTTTGGAAGGCCCAATTTTAGTTCCAGAATGGAAATGGACAAATTAGCTTAATTCATGATGTTACTGGTGATGAGTTTAAATAACTAACTATACTACTTAATTATCCAGAAAATAATGTGTACAACATTTGTACCTCTGTGCTTTATGTGGAAATAATCATCACACCAAGCCTTATATTGTGAGTAATACTTCTTATTATGTTTATCACAAGCTTTCTTCAGTGTGCGGTGGAAATATTTAGAATCCTCTTCATCCAAGTAGTAGGGAGTCAGGTCTGTTCCCCCTCCAAACCACCACTGAAAAAAGAACCCAAGGTTTATTTACTGATATTGTATCAATTAATAAGGTTACCAAGTGTTGATGAGAAATACTAGGAATAGTTAAGTGGTATGTATATGATAGGAAGCAGCTGTGGGTTATTTCATCTGAGGCTGCAGGTTATCACAGCAGTGACTATTAAGATTACTGTCATCTATGATATGATGATAAGCTGTTTGGTAGATAGGCCCCTTGCCACCCCATTTAGGGTATAAGGGTACTCCATGTGGGAAGAACCAGGCAGCGATACAGGAAGAGTTTAAGGACTAGGACAAAGAATAAAAAAATGAGAGTGGTATAACAAGATCCTATTCATTTTACATGACTCTCAGTAGTTTGCTATTAGCCTTTTCCTATCCACAAGTTTGACCCTTTTTGAGGGCACAGGATTTTTCTCACTTTCATGCTACTTCCATTGTTTTGCTATTTGCTATAGTTCTTGTTCTCCCTTTCCTATATCTTTGTCATCTTGTCTTACAAGACTTATTCTTCTACTGTGAAGATGGAGGTATCAGGTTCCTCCAAAATGCTGTTACATACCTGTCAAACTATATGGTGTCACCCCTCAAGTCTAACCTTATCTTCCTGCAGCAAGAGATATAAATTCCCCATTTTTACAAGTGTTTGTAGCTATATATCAATGCAAGGAAGTCATATTTGTACTAAAATAATGTAACACTAGGCTTGCTGAACCATATGCATGCACTGCAATGTGCAGCTGATAAAAGGCAAGTTATTGTCCCAACTAACAATCAAGTTCCTTCCGTCAAATGTGACACTTTTTTAAGTTTTCCACCTCGTCACCACCTGCCTTACATGTTTCGGCTCACCACGGAGCCATCATCAGAGGCATTTATAGTAGAAAAAGAAATCACCAACACACAAAACTTCACTTTGTCCAAGATAGCCACGTTCCAGTTAATTAAAATAATTACAAATAGTTAAAAT